GGGTTCTGAAAAGTATTATCCAAACAGATGTGCTTCGAACTGCTTAATCTGTGCTCGCCTTTGTGCTAATTCCTTGTTAGCCTCATCTCTTTGATCTCTTAGTCTCTGAGCGTACTACCAGGCTCGAATAATTACCTTCTCTGGCAAAATTGATTCTTCGGTAGTGACAAGGATGTCTTTGAACTACGTCTTCCCATACTCGAACCAGGTCTGAACACTGATTGCATTCTCAGTCCTATCGGAAGACATTGCTGCCTTAAGCTCTTTTTATAATAACTAGGTAATCTGTGAATCAATACCGTTTATAAAATGATGTGATATGACAATGATACATGCAAAAATTCAATAAGAGCATACAAAAGAAAATCAATGTTAGTAGAAACAAGACAACAAAAATCAAGTTAGTTGAAATGATTAGTAAAATAATATATATATATATAATCTTAAATATGACTTAAACTTGAGACTAAAAAAATAAAGCATACAAAGGAAATTCATGGTCCTAACCGCATGCGTTCTAGTTTTCCTAGGTTATCCACATGGCTCTAACGAGGTAGACTTACTAAATTCTCTATATGAGGCTGGGTTCTAGCGAATGTTCCCAAGATATTTTTACAACCTGATAAGGTTGACCCCAATTCTGGCCCATTACAGACTTGTGAATCGGGTTCAGCTCAGGGGATCACACCACTAAAAGCGTACCTCGGAACTGATATCCGGATAGGCAACTTAGGGTATTTTCCAGAGATACTTTGTCAGACCCACACAAGGAAGCCCAATGCTCCTCGTGAGGTGTGACGATTCTCCCTACTTAGGTAAACTGGGATTAAGCTCGGGTTTAGAGCTATAATATGCAACAATTCTAAATATTTCACAGAAGTGTAAGCATTAATCAGATATTTTTTTTAAATAACATAATGAACCGTAAATTAAACAAGATTGAACTCGTAATTTCCAAATAATAAACATAGGGTAACTAACTCGTGGCTCGACTCTCAATTTGTTTAAAAAACAAAAGTCCCCAGCGGATTCGCCAAGCTGTCGTAACCGTTTTTTGCCCGGGCAGGGAAAGACCGATACTGACTCGGGGTTTTCTATTTGAAAATCATTTCGAAAGGTGAAGAGTCGCCACCAATCATTTAAGGTGAGATTGGAACACCATAAAAATCGAGTGATTTTAATAAAACATTTTACTTTTCATCAAAATACCGGATTTGAAGGTCTGCGAAAATCCAGAAATCAGGTTCGGGAGTCGGTTACGCGTGGGGAAGGATTAGCCCCCCCACAAGTGCCCAAAAATTGGTACCTAGTTGATTATCCTATATTTAAAATCAGAAATTTGGAGTTCGATATTTATTTAATTTAAAAATCATTAAGGATGCAAAATTAAAAAGAGTATTCGTTTATCGAGACCGATAGCATTCACCCCCGAGCGTAAATGCGGGAGATCAGCTATTGTGCCTAATAACCGAATATTGCCTCATTTTTAGAAAACATGATGTGGTTTTGAAAAGGATGTCGACTTATTTAGGGAATTAGTAGTCACCCCCTGAGCACGATCGCGGGAGATATACTATTAATTCCTTAATAAGTAAACAGTGCCTTAGATTTGTAAAAATAATGCAATCAAACAACATTTTATTTATCCTAATTAAACTAAAAGTAAATTAAGTCATTTTCTAATTTAAAGTGTCAAATTATGAAAATTAAGGAACCTAGATGCTCAATTCTAAAATGTAAGTTCTAGTATTAAAGCTTAATGCTATATATTAAAATGAAGTAAATATTCACGTATTAGAAAATTTCTTTTTGATAATTTTAAAATAATTGAATATGCAATTATGTTTTGGTCAAGTTATGCATATGAGGTTAACATACAAATTAAATAAAATATATCTACTGAAATATATATATATATATATATATATATATATATATATATAAAAGTAGTAACTTTTTATATATACTAAGTTATCAACCAATTGTTTTATTTAAAAAATAATATATAAACATTATATTACGTTAACATGGAAAGAAAAGAAATGTCAATTTCATGATCATATATATATATATATATATATATATATATTAAATATAAATTCCTTAATAAAAAGTAAAGGAAAACATGATTAACACATTTCATTAATAAGGAATATATATATATATATATATATATATATATTAACATGGAAAGAAAACAAAACATTGAACAACATTATAGGGTAAACTCTTTAATAAAGAAAGCATTCATACTATAATTGTTTACAAAAGGATATATATATATATATATATATGCCATATCTTGATAAAAAAAAACATATGTATTATATATATGAATATGCCACGTATTTAACAACCAATTATTAACCCAAATAATATAATATATTAAAGGATTACTATAGACATTTACCTAATATAAAATTAATATTTTAAGCAAAAATATAGGGATCATTAAAAACAATCATACCTAATATAATAAAAATAAAATAAAAGTACCTAATATAATATATATTCAAACATGGAAATACAACTCACTCTAGTAAACATGCAAATTAAATTAGGGACTAAGATGAATTATAATAAAACATGATGACCTGAAACTAAATAACTCAAAACATTATACCTAAAATATAAATTGGAAAATAATTAAACCAAGACAAACACAAAATGCTAAATTAAAATCAGTCCTTACCAGGACTAATATGCAAAAACGATAAAGGTACAAAGGCACGAAAACAAATCACCCTAAAGTTTCAATAACTGAAAGTTAATTTACCTATAAATCTTAATATAAAACCTAAACTAACACTAAACCTAAGCTAAACTCTTCTGCCGCTCAATCCCTCTCTATTCTCTCCCTATCTTCTTCTTCACGCTCATAAAACAAAAGGAAAAAGAGACCTTTCCCCAAAACAACCCAACCATCGAACCTACGCCGGAAGCTGCCATCTAAACCAGAGCATCCAAGGCCGCCACCTACAACGTAGATAACTCTAAAAGGCCCCAATGTCCTACCACAATTTAACCAGTGGCCCTCTCAAACAAAGCTCCCTCATCTTCTACCTATCTCGCAACCGAGAACCATAAAACTTCAACACCACTGCCTAAACAACCACCAATCGAAAAATACAAGCCTCAACCCACGATCTGACCACCTATCCTTCAATCGTCACTGCCAAGATCTTCCTCCGACGAAGACTCCGTCGTTGATACACATGAACAAGGTTACCCGAAAATCCCTAACTTATTTACTCTTTTAATTTCAAAACCTTAAAAAAGATTCTTTACTTGGAAAATGATTCGTTTTGTACAGTTGGGTTGTTATTAAAAAAACTAGGGAATGATGTGTTGCTTGTATTGTTAGTGTAAAAATGAAAGGAAACAGATTGGTGCTGTTGATTTTGAAAAGAAATACGAGAGCTCTCCCTTTACTCATCACCCCGTTACATTCCCCTCCTTGTTACTATTTTTAATGACCAAGCCCAATGACACATGCAAGCCCTCCAATAGATCCCCAACGCTAATGACTACGATATGGAGTCGACGAGGCTCCCTCGGCGCGCACTTGATCCTCTTTTTAAAATTGTTTTTTTAGTTTCCAAATGAATACAAACATTCACACATAAATACACATGAAAAAAATGAAATTAGAAATTTCAAATGAACCTTTCTTGTATTGTCTTCTCTTTTTCGTTCGAATGATAGGATTACACTTTTCTTTTTGACATTGATTTCCTGCGTCAATTCGAAAGAAAAAAGAGACCCTCACTTTGTATTACAACTTTTTTTTAAAAAAAACCAGACCCCTTTTCTTTTTGTTTTTGGTCTTCCCTTCTATTACCGAGAGCTCTTCCTCGTATTTATGGTTGCTTCGAATCCATCTTTTTCCTTCTTCCTTGGATTAGTGCTGAAGCATGTATGTTTTAATCCTATAATTTTCGGGATTTATTTTTATTTCAAAGTTTAGGTAAAGGTTTGTCAAATATTTTTGACTTGGGTGGCTGATTTGGTGCATGTTTTGCTGACTTTTGATGGAAGATAAGGAAGCATGGATGGCGTGGCATGTAGTTTTAAGTGGTGGTGCCAAATCTGTCATTTTTTTGACTTATGGGAAAAGGAAAATCCACTTTGACATAATGCAAAAGTCATATTCATGTGTGGTCCACCTCTAGATGTAAGAAAATGATATTTCACTAATCTTGTGTATAAATATCTCATGTAAGAAATGATTGGCTGCTTGCATGGCCTACAAAAGCAATATTAATATTAATAAATAATAATAATAATGATAATAATAATAATAATAACGGGATGAAAAATCGAGTATCGACAAATTTCACGATAAAAAGAATGAAAGTGAGGTTCATAAAGAAATTGGTCGAATCGCACGTTCAACTTGTTTTCAACTCTCGTCTTCGTATGTTAAATATAGAAAATCCACCAATATATTTCACAACCATTGTTTTTACAACTTCGAAGGAAAAAGAAATTGGTTTTAAAATAACAATTTTCACAACAATCAACGGAGCGTTTGTAGTCCAACGTTTAGGATAATTGCCTTCCAAGCAATAGACCTAGGTTCAACTCCCGGCAAACGCATTTTTGTAATTTTCCGAGTCATTTCAATCCATCACGGCAAACTTTCAGAGTTAGTTCACCCTACTCCATTTCGAGGCAGGTAAAAACTATTTACCCTTTTGATTTGGTTGGGCTTTTGGGACTAAGGGACCTAAGCAAAGCTATCTAAGAATTGCTTGTTTTGTAATGTAAATTCATGTAACAGCTGTATTTCCATAGTCTTAACATCATCTTTCTGCAGCTCATCTTCATTACCAGCTATTTTATACACATTGCTCATTATCTGTTTTCCGGCATTGCCATTATGTAGATCATTGTAACTATGTGGTTCACAACACTAAATAGTATCAGTAGGTGCACAGTTCAGAGATATCTGCAATTTTAGAACTGATTGGTGTAAGTGAGAATTAAAACAAGAAAATTACAAATTACAGGCGCATCAATAGATCTTTGACTGTAAATATATTGGGTAAATCAGGCAGTTTCAACAATGATTCAGGGACTACTATGTTGTCATACAGTCCGGCATGTAAACAGCATCATGGATCCATATGCAAGCAGGATTATCAACCATCGAAAAGCTCTAAAAAAACTGTGTTGAAAGCCAAGGTAATGCTTTTTTTGCTTTTTAAGCCAAGGTAACATATGTGTAAGAGGAGAATCATCTGAATTTTCTGATTTCCTTCTTGATCTTTCTTTGACCATGATATACAAACGAGTCGATGATCCCCGCAACCGTGGAAGATACCTAAACGAGAAGTAACATGATCTTTGTCACTTTAAACGAAACGATGCATCAGGTAAAGCCAAGCCAATGCATTAGGAAACAAAGGATTCGGATCATTCTAATGGAAATGATAGTACCTCCAATTACAGCACATATATTGGTGATGAAGTGCAAAAATGAAATATGTTCTAAAAGTGACCTGCACATGGGAAGATGAAAACCCAATGTTGTATCATATTTTCTAGATGCTTTCGAGTTAATATCTAAGCAATTATATGCATGGTCCTTGGAGTCTCATTGGGCAGCGGCTAAAAGTGTTCTGCGATACTTAAGGGTACCTTGTGTCATGGCTTGTTTCTTCATTCTCGCACACCCTTGCGTCTCACGCCTTTGCCGATGCTGATTGGGTGGTTCTCTTACTGATGGCAAATCCACTACTGCCTATGTTCTTTACCTTGGTTCCAATGTCGTCTCTTGGAAGTTGCTCGGCAAAAGACTGTTTTACGCTCATCTACTGAAGCTGGATATCGTGCTCTTGCTCACTCCACGGCAGAAATACTATGGGTACAACACCTTCTTCAGGAGATTGGCGTCTCCCTTGCTTCGTCGCCAATCCGTTCTGTGATAATCTTAGTGCTATGTATGTCTGTAGAATCTCGTGTTCCACTCTCGTATAAGCACCTTGCTCTTGACTTCTTTTTGTCTGGGATTTGGTTGTTGTTGGTTCTTTGCACGTTCATCATGTTCCATCCACATCGCAGCTTGCTGAGCAAGCCTCTTAGTTGGAAGCTTTTACTTCTCTTTGGTCCAAGATTGGTGTCTCCGATGGATCCTCCATCTTGCGGAGGTGTTAGAGATAAACACTAATGTCTCTCATATCTTATCTCTTATATTTGAATGTAATTAAATTAGCTATATTCTCTCTTGATAACCTTCTTCTGAGCGTTGTACTCTAGACTCTACATGTATATTCTTTATTGGATGCTGTAACAAATACGTGAATACAATGAACCTTACTTTTCAACACATTTAATTACCAATACCATCATGAAACTATGCAACAGCTAACAGATATCTGATTAAGAATAAAATGACCTACCTTGATTGGAGAAAGTCATAAAGAAGAAAACAGGATGAGAATTAGGACTAATGAACTCCAAATCCCTGAAATGCTCCGTCACGGAATACTGTGCGTAGGAATGCAAGCACATCTCAGAACACGATCCAATAAATATGATAAAATAATGCAATTCTTATTCTCGATGAGCCAACTTTCAGTACCTGATTCGAGTTAACAGTGTGGCCTCTGATATCGGTATATATTGTGGGTACTACCTGCAAAATTAAACAAGAATCAGTGTGACAAGTCCATACATTGGCTCCATGTATGAGGTGCACCTGGAGCCTACAATTATATTCACGCCAAAATCAATTCCCCAACCCGCCACCATGGGCATGAAAATGAAAGCGAAGTCACAGGAAACTGTTCATCTGTCAATAAAAGTGCTTAAAAACAAGGAACATCCATAGATCCTTTAAAATACCAACCTTGATGAAGTACTGGTACATTCATTTGAGGTTTTATGTGTCCATTGTGCCCTGAAATAGAAAATATGAATCAACCATTAAAAAATTCAGTATTTGCATTTGGTTTCACTTTCATTTTGAAAACAAAACATACCAAAGAGTAAACAAGTCTTTAATGCCATGAAAAAAATAACTATTACCCATCAAGAGGATTACCACACCGGGGAAGTATCACCAAAAGCTAACCTATTAATTCTGGGACTTATCTGTTTTAAACACCACAAATGTCAAATATACCATTGAAATTTGCAACAAAAGTAAAGCATATATTATATATAGAACATAACAGCTCCCCTAAGAAAGGAGCTTAAATACAAAGATGAGCCTACATTATAACTGTCCTTCTGGAAAGATACCAAGTCATCGAAGAAAAAGTTTGATTGATGAAACTTTTGCCTGCTGCAAATGAAAATTTCCAGCAACTCTATTAACCTCAAGAGATCCATGGATGTTGCATCCTTCACCCATCCTCCTGTTTTATCCTTTCAAAAAAAGCCTTCTCTTTTGCACGGGAAAGCCAAAAAATGTAAAAAGCAGATAAACATCAAGCCACAAAGTAGGATTTGCTCTCCCAAGTAGGGAGCAAATGATAATATTTTGCAGAAACTACTTGGGCAAAAACTTGCAAAGAAACCTGGTCAATCAAGTCTGCATTAGTCATAGCCCACCCTTTTCGCCGATACGCATCTCGAACCTTTCACATGAGTTACAACAGTCATCATCTGATGCACGATAGAGAGGAAAAAGAGAAAACCTTCCATAAGTTGTATACTGACGATTAAATAATCAGCTAAGATGTTACACATAGGATAAGTACTCCAGTTAGCAACTAGAAACCTTGAGATCATTGTAGCAAAAACTTCAGCAGTGACTTTGCCAGTAAGCTAATAGTAAAGATTTACAAACAGCAGTCATGTAATTTGTTTCTTTATCAGTTTTGCAGAGAGCGTTAGTATATGTCTTCAAATATCATGCCTTTTAAGGCATAGACAATCTTAAAGCACTTTAGAGTTTGACTACAATAGAAATTTCTAGAGGATTCGCCAACACTGTATTGCCAGCATTTAATTCTGACATGAGAACTTTTTTTTACTCTATCCACTTGAGATCATTCCACAAGGACTACCGAGGACATTTAAGCTCCAAGGGTAAAAAACTGATGTACAAACTATACTTTTCCTTATTTTGTTTGTAGTATCACCAACTTTCTTAAAAATATCACTAGGCGTCTTATTTGTCATAGAATGTTCTAGTTTTTCCAATATCTTTATCTGAATACATAAAGTTTGCATATGTAGCTGAGAATTAGAGAAATGAACTACACATTAATCACAATGTAATGATCACAAAAAACAAGTGTCTGGGTTCTTAGAGCAAAAAAAGCTGACTATTTCAGGAAAATTTCCCAGCCATTACTAATCAACCAATTCATATCCTTGTTAGCACTTGTGTGATGTATTCAACATGATCCAATAACATAGTGAGACAAGGATTCTGAAATCATACATACCTGCTCTGCACCAAAGCACGAACCACAATACGTCTCATTTTTTTCAAGCCTGCCACCGTGCCTCTGCAGAGGTTTCTCAATCTAAAAAGAAATGAAGAACGGAAAGCCAAAATGAACCAAATTTTGAGGTACTGACAAAATAATAAAAAGAAAATGAGAAGACCATTTAATTAAGTGGTGACACCATCCATCAAATGCCAATATGTCAGGGACTTAAGGTGAAAGGAGATAGCAACATTTTAATAATCAGAGAGCAGAGCACTGCAATCAAACATCTGTAAAAGGGTCCTTTATGCAAAAGTTTACCCGTGACAAGTTATATTACCAGTAAGCAATTAAACTCCGAAATAAGGTTAGAAGCCCAAAAGTTGCTGTCTGTCCTAACCGGTTCCTTTATGCATGTTTTATGTTTACTTTCACTTTCCTTCAGTTTTACCTATAGGAACCTTTAAGAAAAACAAAAGTTTTCTGCCCATCTTCTAAATGTAAACTATGAACCATTACTTCAAAATTTCCAGTCACCACAGAAACTGCTGCTGGTATATCTGCTCTAGAACAACCGAAATGCATTCAATTTTGAAGCAGTAGTCTTTTTATGATCCTATCAACATATCCTTTCTTTGCATCAGTAGAAATAGAATACTTTACTTTCAGTTGTCTCTATTCAGCATATTGCCAACCTTGTAACATGCCATTCTATCAAATAAGTCATTTCTATCAAAGGAAAATCATCCTTCAAAACCAATAATGCTAAATACGGCACGCAAACAAGAAACTCTAGAGAATTATAACTCATCTACCTTTGGAGCTCCAATACCATCCGGCCTGGATTCTATCACATCACCATGAGCATTGATTCTTTTCTTAATTATATCATGTTTCTGCATATAAACATTGAAAGGTTACAAATGCAAGCAGACAAAGAATTTGGAAAAAAAGCCATTGAAACTAATAAAATAAATCTAAGCATCTGTTGCACTGCACGTACTATGTCAAGATGTTGCTCGCCACTGATATCCATAGTGTCAACACTGAGTAGTGTACATGGAATAGCAGGAAAAGTAACATCAAACTGCAAATCCAGACGGAAATGGGGTGTAAATAAAGCAAGAAAGATTGTTCACTACAACAATTAAACCCCAACAACAACCAAACATGAAAATTTCCTAACATAAAAGGCTCTAAAACTTGCTTTGAGCATTCCAAATCAGTAGAAGATCAAGTAGGAAGTTAAAAACTATGACGAAAAGATGCACAAAATGTGCAACCTGAAAAACCCTTTTACAGGTAGCAAATTTGGAGTACAAGTCCAGGAAACTCATTTCACAATAAGTAAGAAGAAAGATAGTTACATTTATGTGGAAGGTTTCGCCTCGTGAAGTATCCACCAAGAGCTTGGTCTCAGTAACGGTATGAAGGTATAATCCTGCTCAAAAAAAAGTTCAAAATAGTAAAATAATCATGATTCAAGAATTAAACACCACCAGATTCCAACGACAAACATATTTTTGGGATGAAAATATATATAGTGACAATTTGATTATACCCTAAGTTGCTAACTTATAGTAAGCTACTTATAGCATGAAAACATTCGGTTCTCTTGTAAGTGCAGACTGAATATGAAAAGCAGACAATATATCTACAATAATACACAATTTTACATCAATACTCAACTTCCTCAAATATCTCACCTTTATACATTGGTATATAATAATTAAGCGCGCGCGCGCACACACACAAAAAAAAAACAATTTTCTAAAGCTAATAGGCATACAAAAATTCACAGAAAGAGAAGAAAAAGTGGGTTGAGAGAAAAGTTACTGAATTCAGAGAAGACAAGTAGGAGTATGGCAAGAGAGGAGAAGAGGGTGATAATGCCACCGGAGAGTGTACGGCTGAAGAAATCTTCATTGACTTTCGGGTATGCGTCCAAATTCCGTAGCTTGTTAAAGACGGTGTTCTTCATGGCCAACCCCTTTCACCAGCGTTGAACACAACCCAAATGGGCAGAGAGATATGTACAGAGGAATGTGTGCAGAAAAACTGAAAGCGAGGTTCTTTTTACTGGGGGAAGACGGCGGCGCGTAGGAGAAGAAAGGAGGCGGACAGAGAGGAAGGAGTGAAAGGCTGACCGATGAATTTACATAAATGGGCATCAATCATGGAATTCATCAAATGGGTCGAAGTCAAATTTGATGTCCTAAAATGTCAAACCAAGTTCATATATTTTAATGACTTTCTGGTTTCTTCCTGGAGATTACACTACTTTCCTTCCAAACCAAATAAATAAATACTAACGCTTTAGCATT